CGACATTTTATCATCACGCTTTAGAGTTACAGAGTCTAAATAAACATAGGTCTTAAATCAATTTTTCTTGTTATTAATGTCCAGCAATTATTAAAATAAAAATTTTCGATAGAAGACGAAGTTTCACCATATACATTAAGTTTATTTCGAAAAGTTGTTGATAATCTACTTGATGATGGTAAAATAATTTTACCAAGCACATATTTTAACTATTTGCTTTTTGTAAAAATTTGATATCATACACTCGAAGGTAAAGTTTTACTTTAACCATTGATAATCAATGTTACAATGACATGAGGGCGTGAGTGCGAGTGTGGCTATGAGTATAGTGTTTGGGGTGTCGACGTGGTGCATATCATGAGTTATATTAGTTTCCAGAAAACTCAATATGTTTCTGGACGTCAAATCAATTTCGGGAAACTGCATTCCGTTTCCCTAGTGGATGTCTTGTGCAAAAAGCGAACCAACAGCCATGAAGTGTCACTTCCTTTGCGGCGCCAACAACGGAAGAGATGCGGTATGACTCTCTCCGCGGCACCCTCATCAACAGAGATGCGGTGTGAGTCCCTTCGCGGAACACACATCAAGAGACATGTGGTATGACTCGCTTCGCGGCACCCAATGCTCATGACGCCGATTATGTCCATTTTGTCGATTATGGGCATTATCCCCTTTATGTCCACTAGGAAAACGGAATCCAGTTTCCAGAAATTGATTTGGCCTCCAAAAAACTATTGAGTTTTCTGGAAACTAATATAACGCATCATATGCACCACCCCGACACTTCAAACACCACATCCATAACCACACTCGCACTTCCACCCTCATATCATTTTAACATTGATTATCAATGGTTAAAGTAAAACTTTACCTTCGAGAAATTTATCAAATTCTTTTAAACCTACATTACCGTTCTAATCAGACTCGATGAATACATAAAAAATTTGACTACATGTCATCGAATCCATAAACATCTATCTGGTCTAACCTACAAGCCATTAACTCTAGTCAAGACTAGTCTACAGAGCAGGCTAATATATTAAAACTCGGCTTCACTTATTAGTCTGATCTGGTTGAGTGGCAGGCGCCTGTAGACTAGCAGAGTAGACCACATCAGACTGACAGTTCTGATTCACATAATGATTTAATTGAATGTGCTAGAAAAATATCGCACAATAAATTAAATGAACTACAAACATCTGTTAGTTCTGATTCACATGCTACAATATTTTATACATTATATAGAACAGTTCTACTTAAATCAGCTAGAGTAACAAATTTCGGTATGCTTAACTTAGTTCATGTTCAATGGAAGCATCTTAGAGAGTTTTTACTCGTTTTTGTGTTCATATTCGGTTTTTGTTTTTTTTTATATATTCGCCGAAGTCGTCGGTCAAGGTACTTAATTCTGTTATAGAAAAATGTAAAGTTATTTTTCCAGTTATTTTACCTCATACAGTTGCAATAATGCAAGCTATTCATGACGAAAAATGTATAGCACGTATTAGTACACCAATTAGTTTTCGAGATATTTTATTACATGTAGATCGAAAAAAAAATGATTTAACTTCATTAACATTTTCTGCGTTGGGTATAGAAAATGTGCATTACGATTTATTACGTTAATTAGAAAAAGAAATTCCAATTACACATAGTTCTCAAGCTTGTGGATTGACAGAAAATACTGCATTACTTACAAGTAATATGTGGGCTGATATTGAAGATCGAAAACATCTATTAAGATCACTTGAACGATTTATGCAACGTTTAAAAATAAAAGTTGCTAATCGAGAAGGAAATACTGTATATATTGGACAATTAGATGAAATTTGAACAAGAAGTTATCCAATTATGTTTGAATATTATGATGATTCAGAGAAAAGACAAGAAACAATAACACTATCAGAGTGACTTCGAACAGGTGATTAAGCAACAATGAATAAAGATGATTATATTTATTATGTTGGACATCAAAATTAAATGATTATTCGTTATGCGATTAATATTTATTTAGTTGATATTGAAAATACAATAGTTGAACATTCAAGTATGACTAAAGTACAAGTTTTTTGTTTTCTATTCGTGAAGTACATTATAGTGAAAAAGTATGTGCATGAATTAAATTAAAATTAGATGCATCTCTATGTAAAACGGAAAATATTAAAAAATTTCTTGCCGATAAATTAGCGTTTTTTAAAATACTAAAACATATTCGATTTGTTGATAAATTTATCATGACATCAATAAGAAAAGTGCAAAGGTTTAAGTTATCTAAATCAATGAATGAAAAGAAGTAAAATAATACACATTAGATTTTCTTTTTTTGATTCTTTTACTATTTATTTATTTATTTATTTTACTTATCATATCATATGTAGTCGAATGATTTTAGTTTCATTTTTTTAGTAAATTAACAATAGATAGATTATTTATTGACACATTATGAAAAAAGGAAATATGTAAATTTCAAGAAAGATTACAAATGAATTGTTAGTGCTTATCTGTTAATATTAGTTTACAGTAGAAAAAGGGAAATAATCTCGAAAAAAAAACAAAAAGAATCTTTCAAATAACTTTATCATATTATATAAGCATAAAATCTATAGACAACAAAAAAAAAACATAATTGATTCTTTTGAAAAAAAAAAGACTGATACATACAGAGATAAGCAAGTCAGCTATTTTTCGTCTCAAGCCAAGTCAAAAGCCAAACCAGTTCTCATCAAGTTTTCTTTTATGCGTGAAAAGATCATAGAAAATGGGGCTTTATCCTATTTCAAAGGAAAATGAGTTTTCGACAGTTTCACAATAAGTAAAAAAAAATAACTGGAAAAAAACAAATGTACTAGAAATAAATCAATTTAACTTGAAAAATAGAGATGGGCAAGTCAAGTCATCACTTATTCAAAACATTTCCAAGTCAAGTCAAGTCAAAAATGATTTGACTTGCCCATCTCTGGATACATAGATATAAATCAATATGATGAGAATGTCATATACATATTCATTTTGCACATTTTTAAACATATAAACCCTCGATACTCATATGTGCTAACTGTATATCAGTAGTAGATTGACAATTTGAGAATAACAACCAAAGATATTCATCGATATAGTGAACATTATAACGAATGGTCTATCAACAATTTTTGTCCCATTTGAAATACATGTGAATATCTCTATAGCACAGCAACATATTTGTTGAAATTGCAAGCAAATAGAATCGAAAATGATATCGTATTGTTATATTAGTATAGGAACTACCAATTAATATACTTTTTTCTGTATTTTGCTCAACACTAGTTTCATTCGAATACTCATTTAATAGAAAGAGTATTCCACAAGTTTATATGAGAAGTAAACGTAGATATTTCTTATACAATGCCATTGATTTTATTGATTTTTTTTTTCACAATATGAAAGTTTGTTTTTTTTTTTATGTTTTACATCTTTATGTACGACTAAAGTTAGAATACCTCCAATGATCAAAAAAGAATTGTTGATTGAATCGGACAAAACAAAAACAACTACATATAGACTATAGTAAGGCATCAAATACACTAGAAAATTTAAAACTTAATTAAGAAATGATATTGCTGTTGCTACGTAAAAACATCAATCACATTTCTTAATTCAGTTTTTATTTTTCTAGTGTGTTTGGTCCCTGAAAGACATTTAGAATATTTTTGTGAAATAAGCGTCGTTGCAAATCAATAAATTTTTCTTGGATAGTCTTCGATAATGCTACATAATTATATACATATACAAGTAGATGTACGACTTCTTTCGTTTTTTTTTCTTGAATCAAACATATTCGTTAATTATTTTAAAAACTATAGAAAATGATTAAATAAAATAAGAACGCATATCTTTTATCAATCAAAATTTTTTGTATATGCAAAACTAGACTATGTTGTTCGTTCGCGATCTTTTTTAACCATACTTTAGTTTAATAGTTTACTTTCTATTCTCTATATCTCTACATTATATTCTTCATTCAATATAACAATCATAACTAAATCAGTATTAATTCATCTCGATTTTTTTCTTGATATGTGTGTCTATTTGATCTCTATTCTAAAACAGATCCATCTATTCTATCATGTAATCCATTAATAACATCCGATATTTCAATAATTCATAGTATGAATTTATCAACAAATAATAATAATAACAATAATACAATAATATATGTTAAATAATATACAAATCATCCAATTCTTAATGGTGAACTTCTTACTTCTTTTTTCATATTGTCCATCAATATCATTTAATATTTCATCAACAAATGAAACAATTAAATCAATACCATCACTTATTCCATGTGCATTAACACAATTTTGTACAAATAATAATCTTCAAACAATAATTAATTTATTTTATACAATAAATAAATATTTAGATGATATTATTCGTTTTTTAATTCATATAAGTACAAATTTTGATAGACATGTCCATAATATAAACAATCTTTTATAAAATATATAATTCATTGTTGAACGTTATATATATATAATAAAAAATTATTAAACCATTCAGTGATTTATCAAGTGATATGTTAATACGTTCAAATAATAATCAATCAGATAATATTATTACTATTACTACTACTACTACTACTACTAATAATAATAATAATAATAATAATAATTCAATTTATTTAGATCATCGTTTACATGAAGAATTTATTTTAATATTAAAACAAATTGTTTTATTAATTAATTCATCATATTTATCAACAATATTAATAAATGTTAATTTACAACATAAACTTGATTCAATTCATGAACAAACAAATCTTATGCATGAAAATCTTGTGACTATTATACGTAAACTAGAATCTAATATTATTTAAAAATAAAAATCAAATATAATTATAATTATAATTCCTCAGAATTCAAACGTAAAATGAGAGAAAATTTTTATATTTCTAGATGAGTACTCCATCAAAATCTATTGGTACGCCATTAAAACAACGTCATTATATCAGCTAAACAAACACCAAGATCATGACAACAAACACGTAGGATATTGTTGAAATTAAAAAAAAGTATATATTGAATTTAGTTTTATATTTAATATAGCTGCGAAAAAACGAAATCCATTAATAACATTATAAGAAGATGAACCAATTGCAAGTACAACACCAAGTTCTGTTCTTCAAATGCATTTTACACCTGGACATACTTCAAATAACAACCGAGGTTTGTTATGAATAAATGATTTGTTTCGTAATTTAACTGAGAAATTTTAATTATAAAAGAGGTCAAAAATGGTCGAGATTTTTTAAGTCGATCCAGTCCTGTTTTCTTACTTCTGTCCTTTGACTACCATTTCTTCATCATGATAGCTACGAACTTGATCATTTTTATTATTGAATTCTGTTCATTCAATAAGTTGACGGCTTTTTGAAATTTGAATTGTTACGTTTTATTAATTACTGAAATAGAGCTATTTTACGATCAAAGTTCATTTGTTTTTTGAAATTTGAAGTTCTCATCGAAAAGAATTCATGACTCAACCATGAGATATTATTTTTGTTGAATAATTGTATCATCTCATCTCGATATCTGTTGGCGTGTTATTTAAAAATTAAGAAGCTTCACAAGAAAAACGTACTCTATAAAGTACATTGATATCTAAAGAGTTAAGAAATGAATCAAGTCTATTATCAAAGATGCCATAGAAAATCTAGATTATGTGAAATTGAAAAAGATAATATTATTTGAAAGGATTAACTAACTATATCATTTGATAGGATAACTCAAAAAATGGAAAACAACGATTAAATTGCAAAAGAAGATTGAATTCGAAATAAATACCATGTGAAGATTCATTCTAAGCTATGCTTTTTTGTTTTCAACTGGAATAGAGCCTTGTATGTAATTACAAACATCTATGGTTCCTTTGTTTTTTAATTATACAAGATGTTTTATAAATAAATATCAAGGTAATTATGGTTGTCGATAGTTTTGACAGGTATTTCATTCTATAGAGAAGGAAGATTTCAAAATAGTATTCGAATAATGATAAGTTTTATAGATCTTTTTTCATTATCAATTTACATTGAAAAATATTTTATAAAATTTTGTAATATTTAATGTCCACGCTAGAATTAAAGAGGATAGATCTAATCTTAATAACTAACTGGACAATGACAACAGCTTATTTGAAAATCTATCATTTTTACAAACATACAGCAGTGGACAAAAGTCTCTACCCTAGCGGATCTCAGTCATCATAAGTGCTGGAGGTCTGCAAAGTTTGTGTGTGTGTACTCTACTAGGAATGTAGGTCAGTGACATTACAGCGCCATGATTGCTTAATTAGAAAGAGAGTTATGATAGATAGCACCTACTTTTTGTGTTGAACTTTATAACATAAAAAAGGCTGTCTAATAAATTTTATCTTGTTTCTTATTAAATATATGACTAATTCTTGATATTTTTCCATGAAACAGAAGTCCAGCCTGTGGCCTTTCTTCACTCAAAAGATGAATTCATTTGCTCGAATATTGGAGTGTCTGAGTACTCGGAACTAACACAATGATCACTAATGTGGCATTTCTTTCTAGTGCAAGATTCATTTCTGAAACTTGTAGACAATAATATCCAATTGTAAAGAAAGCTTCTCTAAAAGTTTGAGCTCAATTCATTGAACTATCACTGAGTTATTGGTCTCCGAAGGACAGTAGATGCTTTTGCTCCATACCAATGGTCACAGTAAAATGGTCATAGTTCTGAAAAGGACTGATGAACTTCAATGAAATTAGTAATGTAGACAGCTGGGACATAACTTTACATAATGATGAGTCGGCTGACACACAATGTCATCTCCTTCCAGAGTTATAAATCTCAAAGCAGAAGTAGGTACCATCGATCATAGTTCTCTTTCTATTAAATCAACCTGGATGTGGGTGGTCTTACTGACCTACATTCTGGAAGTAGTATATGCGCACAAATTTTCAGGTCTCCAGAACCTATGGTGGCTGAGATCCGCTAGGACCGAGACTTTTCTCCACTACTGTACATGAATCGATATATTGTAGAGGTTAAAATAACTAAAAACTCGGCCAAAAAGTAATTTTATTCTCAAAGTCGTGACTAAAGAGTTACGAAAATTACCGAGACCCGGTCGTTCATCTCTCTTGATGCTTGCTTCAATTCTATTCATCTCACAACAACATTATCTGCTTATTTTTATTTCACTTTCTGTCAAAGCAAAGCAAAGCAAATTAAATTTCATAATCCCTCTAATCGAGAACCCTGGTTCTGTATCAAAGACTTTTTTGATAGAAAATCAGAAAAATCAACTTAATTCGACTGAATATCTATGTGATTTTGTTCACTCAATTTTGAGATATGAGAGGTTAATCACCTGAATCATGTCTTGAACTATAGTTCTGAACATCATGTCAAAATCGAAACGAAACACCGTTCTTATCACTTTTTCTTAGTGTTCTATAAAGATAAAGACTACACCCATTCCTATTTGATTCTATCGTGAACATTAGTTATGTTGTTTATTTAAAATGAATGAACTTTCAGGCATGACTTTTTCACCAATGACACTTACAACATCACCTGCATAAAGTAATATATGTGCTAGTGGTCATACACCAATGTCAATACAATCACGAGCATGAACTGATCTTGGTAGTGCATGAAAATTACGTTTTGTTTATGAATAAGAAGAATTAGTGAGTTTATTTATTCAAAAAATAAAAAGATTTATAAGATAAATTGACAATATAGGAAGATGATATTGATGTCAATACAGTTGATAATCAAGTTGTTATTTGAGGTATAGATGTACATGTTAATGAATGTAAATGTCGATTTATATCATTTAAAAAAAAATTTATTTAAATGTTGAAGAAGCAAATGTTCAAGGTGTTGATCCAATTAAATCCTATTATATGCAAAAACTTGAAGAAATTCATTTATTTGAACGTTCATTTCTTAATGTTCATTGTGCGCATATAAAACAATTAGATAAAATAATGTATCATCAATTACTTGCATATTCACAAGAAGTTATACCTATATTTGATATTGCTGTTAATGAATTATTTTTTACAATTTATGAAGATGATACACTTCCACATCAAATTCAAGTACAATCATATAATGTTGATATATTTAGAAATATATGTTGTCATGATCCAGAAGATTTAACATTAGAATATATGTTATTTTCTTATATAAAAACTATAATAATTTAATTTAGATATTGATAAATTAGCTAGTCTAACAGGCATGGTTATACGATCATCATGAATTATGATTGAAATGTGTTCAGTATATTTTACATGTAATACATGGAGTTTTCATGTTTAAATTGAAATTGATTGTGGAACAATTGCTGAACCAATTATATGTACATCATGTAATACAACACATTCATTTGAATTTATTCATAATCAATCATTATTTGTTGATAAACAATTTATTAAATAA